CACCAGTAGCACTAAAAGAGCCCGGCAGCCCCTGGCAAGCTGTGCCAGCCTCGTCTGCCAGCCATGAGCAAGGCCCTGTGTGCCACGGGCCAGCGAAGTGCAGCCCCGTGTGCCTGTATGCCGCATCCTAGGCAAGACCCTGGGCGTGCAGAGCCCTTAGGCTGCCCCGGGGTGGAGGAAAGGGGCTGCTGCCCCAGCACGGCTGCCGGACAACCCTGGGCCTGCGCGTAGACATGGACGTGCAGGCAGGGTGCTGCAGGTGCCGTGGTGCAGGCTGGCTCGGCTCCCTCGCGCGCCCGCCCATGCCCTCGGCGCGTGGTTGCATGTACCTGGACGGACCCCCCGAGCCCGCCCGCTGCCACGTGAGATCCCAAAAGCCTCACCACCGGCCTGAGGATCCCACAACTCCGTCCCCTCGGGAGGCTGCTCGCGACAGGCAGGAGGAATAGAATGAGAAGAAACAAAAGAAAAGAAAAAGAGGAAGAATGGGGACGAGAAAGGAGACGTGGAAGGAAAGGGCGGGGAGGAGTGGCAAAAGGAGTTGAGAAAAATAAGACATGCAAAAGCAAAAACATGACCAGAGCAGCTCGAGTTTGTGAGTGCGGAGAGGTAGTCGGACAGCATCGTCCCAGCAGCTCCCCAAAGGGGCCCCTGCAAGCCACTGCTGCACTACCGAGGGGGGTCTGCACCCGGCCTGCCACGTACAGGCTCACACACGCGCGCCGGGCACACGCTCGCTGGGCAGCCTGAGGACGCGCTGCCCCGTGGGCTGGCATCGCTGCGATTCAAAGCCAGTTGGGACAGCAGGGCTGCTCGCTGTGCGGGAAAACGCAGCCGGGTTGAGGCGACACTGCTGAGTGCTCTCCCGCGAGCGCAGCATTCAAAGGCAGATGTGGATCGCAGGTGCTGGGGGTCCCCGGACCCCCCCCCCCCCCCACCACTCCGGGCAAGGCTCCATACCCCCCCTATGGAAGTTTTGTGCTTTGCTTCTTCCACTGCCCTCAAGAAGGAAAGTCTACTGGCATTTCTCAGCTGCTGGAGGCAGAGAGCAGATCTCACTGGGAACAGGCTCCCAGGGATGAGCCAGAGGCACTTTGGAGACATTCCCCTCGCCATAAAGAAGTGCTGCCCAGTCGTTGGCCAGCAAGAGCCAAGGCTGTCCCGGGCTCCCTGTGCTTGGTCCGGGGCACCGAGGGGCACTGCTGGGCTGATACGTGGGTGGGAAAGAACAGGATGCTGCACCTACTGCTCCAGCAGCCCTTTTGCAGGTGCTCTGCTCCCCTTGGAGGTTCAAGCCAAGAAGATGAGGGTCTGTGAGGACCACTGGGGAAACGCACGAGCTCTGCTCTCAAACAGTAGCTGTCCCAAAGCCACGTTCCCTGCGTGAGGGTACGGACAGCCTATGAGACCAGAGGGCAGCCAGGGCTGGGATGCTCTGGAGACTGCGGACTGCTCTCCCACGACCTTCCAGGCTGAGTGCTGCCTGTGCTCATCCCTCTGCTCCAGGCTTGGCCCCCGAGTACCCTGCTGGTTCCAGGGTGAAGCTGGCCTCCTCTCCGGCACGGGGACATACGCTGCTCAGTGGGGACTACACACTGCCCAACTGCTCCTCAAACTGCTCCCCGAGGCCCTAACAGTCCCCTCCTTTGTCCTGTGTCCCCATCCCATTCATACAAGAGAAGTGGCGCTGTGCCACAGAGCACAGGCCCAGCTACCCCAGTGGGGATGTGACACCAGGAACACCGTCCTCCATGGGCAGGTGGCTCAGCCTCTACTGTGCCAGCACCCAGCTTCCAACCAGTGGCTAAACCCCTGCCCTCCCCCCAAAAAACGCAGCCTTGGGTCCCCCGCTAGATCTGCAGGGAGGAAGCTCCCCCACAGACAGCATTGGGGAAAAAGGACGCCCCAGCCCGTGCTTCCATGCAGAGGCCTCGCTGGGCTCTGTGGGCCAGATGCCTGAGCTACGCACGCCCGCGGTTCCGTGCCCTGGCTGGGGCAGCACCGTCGCTCACCTGGTGTTTGGTGTGTGGCTGTGCTTTGTCTCTGTTCGGCGGCTGCACCTGCACCTCACTGTGCATCGTGCCGATAGGGGTGGGCTGGGGATACGACAACAACATCAGCCGTGGCTCAGCCGCTCTCCCGCTGCCTACCACCGCCAGCTCCGATGATAACACCCCAGAATCAGGGCCCAAGCCCAGCCCCAGCAGCTCCATGCCTGGTGTGTGGCTGTGAAGAGCCCACGGAGGTGCCCATGGTGGGAGCCCAGCTCGACTGTTGGGTTCCCCTGGTCTCCAGAAGCCTCAGATTTCTGTGTCACAGCTCTAACTCAGAGGCACCACAGCTCGGGTTTGGAGCTGACTGCTGCTGTCAAGTGGTGATGGGTGGAGCTGATCTCTCAGGCATGGAAGCGTGCAGTTGGGATGACTGCCGACCTGCATCTTGCCTGGCCACTGCCACAGACTACGCTGACTCTCCATCACACCACCCACCTCTCCCCTGGCACCCTGGGGCCCTCCCTTGCACCAGCACCCTCTGCCTGCCAGCGGCTCCCTCTCCGCTTACCAGTGGTTTCCCTGCCCAGTCGTATTCATAGTCAAACACGTAACCGTTCCTCTCGAACAAGTCTGTGAAGAGCTTCCGCAGGTAGTCATAGTCTGGCTTCTCAAAGAAATCCAGCCGCCGTACGTAGCGCAGGTATGTGGCCATCTCCTCTGCGGGGACAGACTGGGCTCAATTCAGGCAGAGGGATGAGGTACCAAGCCTGTGGGCACTTGGGACCGGAGGCCAGGCTGGGGATGGGGGCAAGTCACACAGAGTGCCCTCACCTGGGAAGTTCTCACAGAGCACCTCCACCGGCGTGGCTCTTTTGGTGTCACCAATCTTCTGATACCTCTCCTTTAATGTGTCAGCCTGTGGCAGAGACAAGGAGCAGGTCAGTGCGAGGGCTGAGCAGGTCCCCGGGAGAGAGGAAGGCACTGGGCACCATCAGACAACAAATGGGGTGTTGGGTCCCCTTTTCCAGGCAACAGTGAGAGCTCAGTCCTAGGGAATCCCCTAACCCAGGGCAGGTTTGGAGGTGAACGCTGGGGAGCTTGGTTCCAGGATAGCCGCTATGACATTTGCAAAGGGGGGACACCTACAACTGTTCAACAGATGCCTCTGCACAGCAAGGGCCTGGCACAGGGCTCAGAGCAACAGCCCTTGCAGCCAGCAGGGCACCAGCCCTCCACCATCCTGGAGGCCACAGCCCAGATCCAGCCCCAGCCCTGCTACTGCTGACCAGACCCATGAAGCCAGGGTGGACCTGGCAAATAACCAGGTCTGAGATCTGCCTGGCAGGAACGGCCCTGTCCAGATCCCCAGTCCCTCTCCATGGGGCCAGGCAGCTGTTTCACAAAGGAAAGGCCTCATCTGAGAGCTGAGAATGACAGTGCACGTCCCTGAGCCACAGTTCCACATCCCCAGACTCCATGCCATGCCCAGAGCCATCAGAGAGGAGCTGCTGCTGGTCCCCAGGGTTCAAGGGAATTTGAGGGCTCCTCCCCACACAGGACCAAGGAATGACTGTTCTTCCCCAGGAGGATCTTGCAGTGTCTGCACTTACTCGACAGACTCTCTTGCACCCTTACAGCCTCCCCTCCATGGACCCTGACACTGTCCATGCCATTCCCAGGGACAGTGGAAGCTGGCAGTTACCTTGAGGCCTTGCCAAGGAAGGCTCCCGCGGAGGAAGTACATAAACATGTGCCCTAACGCTTCCAGGTCATCCCTGCGGCTTTGTTCTGTGTGGGAAGAAACAATTCACAGGCACGTTCCTAGCGTGGTTGTCTCCCCTGCCCACCTCCCCTGTCCCCTCCAGCCCCTGCAGCACCCCATGTCCCCTGCCAGCATCCCAAGTTGAAGAGCAGGAGAGGCAGCCTGCTCCCAGCCCCATCTCTGACAGGGGGGAGCTCACACCCTGTGGCCCCCTACCCTCTCCCCCTGGGCTGAGAGGCAGCGCCGGATGGTGCTCACTCACCTTTCCCGAGGTGGGTGTTGATGCTCATGTAGCGTGCTGTCCCTGTCAGGCTCTTGTGCTCTCGATAGGGGATGTGTTTTTTGGTCTCGGGGTCAATATACTCTTTGGCCAGGCCAAAATCAATGATGTGGATGGTGTGCTGCCGCTTGCTCCCCGGCCGCCCCACCAGGAAGTTCTCTGGCTTGACGTCTCTGTAGATCAGGCTTTTGGTGTGGACATACTCCATTCGTGTGATCTGGGGGTGGGTGGGGGGCATCAGCGCCGTGGCAGAGGCATGCTGGATTGCAGCCACAGACCTAGCTCCCCTCGCCCTCGTCCCGTGAGCCCAATCCTGCTCAGATGCCAGGATTGAGCAAGGTGAGTACCACTGAGGTCTGGAGGGCTATGTCTGTCCTGAGAATCAGGCCATGAAAGCCTCCCACCCCCTTCCCTAGTGCTTTGAGGTGTATTTTAAAGTGTAAAGGAACATACTCCTCATGATATGAAACCTTTGAGGTCTCCTGATTGAGCCCTGATGTCTCTGATACCAGCATCAGGTTGGCTTTTCCCAGGTGCCCCTGGCTCCACCTGTGCCTAAAGGCTGTTCCACAGCAGCCGACCCCTGGCTATGCTCCTGGCATCCCTTGCCCCAGGCCAGCAGCTCCTGCGGCAGTGCTCCCCTCTGGCTATACATCGCACTGCGTCAAAAGGACGGGCAGGACAGGTCCTCCAGCCCTGTAGGACTGGCTCAGTCTAGCTGCGTCTCTGGCGCGAGATGGCCAGCTGTGCTCGGAGAGGGGCTGCGTGGGGGTGAGGCAGAGCCTGCCACGGGGACAGGTCGGCCAGAGCCACCAGGCACAATCCAGGCTTGGGGACACAGTTAACAGCGCTCCCCACATCATTCCTACATCATGGAAAAGGTGAAGCCTGGAGAGAAGCAGTCTAGGATCTCCAAGCAGGCAGTGTCTCCTCTGGCCCTCTTCACCTCTCTTTTCGCTCCCTGCCCACACATTGCCCTCTCCCCCAGGGCAGACTGGGAGGAGCCTTGCAGAGCTGCACGCGAGGCAGAGGCACCGTGCTCACCAGCTGGATCGCAATCATCAGGACAGTCTTGAGCGTGAAGGTCCGATCACACAGATCAAAGAGGTCTTCCAGGCTGGGTCCTAGCAGCTCCAACACCATGGCGTTGTACTTCCCACAGGGGCCGAAGTAGTAAACCTGAGGAATTCCTTCTGCAAGAGATGGAGCCAGGGCTGTCAGCGGTCGCGGTGGGGCTGAGCAGCACATGGCCACACTGTCACAGCCATGCTGTTTCTGGAGCCAGGCGGGGGGCTGCTGCCGGGGGGGGGGTGTCTCCACACTGCCCTCCCTCCCTGCCACAGACAGCCCTGCCCTGCTCTTGGCAGGAGGGCAAAGGAGGCAGCTCCATCTGCATCCTTGACTTTGCCGCAGGGGACATGGGGAGAAAGGAACTAAATAAAAAGGGATCAAGGATTAGACGTGGCTCTGTGTAAAATCAGCCTCTCTCAGCTGAGCAGATGGGCAGCTTAGGCCAAGGAGTGACGCTGCAGAGTCATGTTTGTACGAAGCCTCCCTTTCAGAGTTGCGTCGCCTGGGCGGCCGGTTCCCACCCTGGCTGTATGGCTCCGGCCCCGTACCTGCATTGCCGAGCTGCTTGTAGAATCGATACTCCAGGTGCAGCTGGGGGGCCCGGGATTTGATGGGTTCCTTGAAGGAGAGAATGAGAACAGTTAAGGCCATTGAAGAGAGCAGAATGTTAGGGAGGTCTGGGCATCAGACACCTCCTTCACACGCTGGCAGCAGCTGGGGCATGTCACAGCCGCTGCAGAGCTGAGAGCATTTGGGGCTGAGAAAAACCGGTACAAAGTGGGGATGAAGCCTCAGAGGATGAGGAGAGAAAACCAGCCCATGTGGGAACCAGATCCCCTTCCAGGGAGATCCAGGTGCTGGGGTAGGCATTAACGGGACCAGGTATTAACAGTAACCAGCCCCTCCTCGTGGTCTCTCTGCTGCTGGTATGGACTGAAGTGCTGGTAAGTGCAGCACAGACCACAGGAAGGTCCTGGGAAAGCGAAGACTCAGAGAGTCTCTCCCCAGGCCCAGACCTCCCCACTTGCAATGACGTTCATTGCTCTGCATGCCCTAAATTCCTAAAGGTGAGGACAGCTCCCCTACCCAGCCGCTGCCCATCGCAACTGATTCAGCTTGACCCATTTTCACCAAGCAGGCAGTGTCTTGAGCAAGTACCTTCCCAGGTGGCCCAAACATCAGCCCCTGCCGACAACCCGAGGAGGGAGGGAGAGGACTCACCAATTTGATAGCTACGTATTCGTTTGTGTAGAGGTTCTTCCCTGCAGGGAGAGACAAGAGAAAGCCGATTGAAAGTGAGTGAGCCTTTGTGCTAACCCCACATCACACCAGCTGCCGTCCCCCCAAGGGCTTCGGGGCTGCAGAACATCCCAAGCAGGTTCGGCAGCTCCTAGAACATATAAATAGGCCTCGAGGCACGAGCAAGAACAGGATCGCGCTGTGTGGAGTTGCAACATGCCTGTTAATTACCCCCAGATGGGCTACCCAGATTCCTCTGGGATCGGCAGCCTCCAGGTTAACGCTGGGGTGAATGATGCCAAGTTTGCTGGGAGCGGGCAGTCTCCCGCTCCAGGCCTGCAAGGATGTAACTGGCCGTGGCAGGGGCACGGCTGGGACTTGCCGTTTCTCCCAGCTACATCCCTGCACAGAGAAGGCAATGGCTCTGGCCATTCCTCTTCGGAAGGTGGTGCTTTACTTGGGGTGGGGGATGCTCGGAGTCTGTGGACAGTGCTTTGGGGCAGTGGGGCCGCACAGAGAGTGGCAGGGGGAAAAAACCCCCCCCCGCACGCGTGGCTTGAGGTGCTGCAACTGGCTGTGGTTCAAGGACACCGCAGGGAGCTGGAAATCCCTTTTCCAAGGCTGGGGACACTCCTAGAGATGGCACTACGGGAAGGTGCAAGGCAACGCTCCCCACTTTGGCCTCCCCCTCAAGGACCAAACCATAGGGCTGAAAAAACCCCCTCTCTCCACAGCTTAAACTCCAGGCTCGGACACGGCAGACCCATGTCCTCTGTTCCCAAGAGAGCTCATGCTTTGGGGAGATCTTCTCCAGCACAGATCCATGCAGAGATCCAGCTGAGGGAGTAGCAGCCAGTGCGAAAAACCATGCCAGCCCACACATGAGGCATCTGCTCCCCAACTCAGCCTCTCTGTGGGGTCTCTGCAGCAGGACAAGCCATGCAGAGATTTGTCCTGGCGAGTTCGTTGCCTCCTGCAACCTCTGAGAGCTGATCCCACCACCTGCATTGCTGGAGAGGAACAGCTGCATCTTCCCATTGCCCATGGGGCCCCGGGAGAGAGGAGCCAAGCTGAGAAGTGGTGCTGGGGCTGGCGGCAGCCCTGCAGCCACTGATTTTCACCAAGACCATGGCACGAAGCCTGGGCTGCCAGGGCAGCAGCAACGTGGTTCGTGGTGACAGCAGCAAGGCAAAGGCTCCTGGGCAGCCCCAGGTACGAAGAGCCGCCTGAACTCTTTAAAGCAGCTGCCCCAATGCAAGTAGGGCAGTAAAGGTGCATGCTGGGTGAGAGCTGTCGCTCCCAAGGGATCCAGGAGCCCACGCTGGCTGGGATGCTCTGCACCCCTCAGTGCCATTCCCAAGGTGCAGGCCCCGGCTCCGTACCAGCATGCTCCATCAGACATGGTCTCTGCCCACCCGCAGGACTGAAGAGCCCTCCCACCTCATCTCCTGGCAAGGAGCACAGCAGTCAACGCAGGGTCTTCCCACCAGCTGAGCTCCCCCGGTTTCTCTCCACCACGCCAGTTGCACATGGGATGGGAAAAGCACAGTCGGCGCTTCCAGCACCTCTGTCCCTACGGGGAGCCTCCCGGAGCCCCGCTCACCCCAACACACCCGGAGCCAAGGCCAGAGCTCCCCAATACCAGGCTCAGCCCTGCAATGCTGGGGTCTTTGCCAGGCAAGAGCAGTTCAACTGTGTGTACCTGTATGCATGTCTATTTGTGCATGTGTGCTGCTAGCTCATTTGAGTGTCCTACCCCATCCTCTGCTCATCCAGACGCTATCACTTGCCCGAGGATGCGGGCAAAGCCAAGGCACTCAGAGGAGTTCACATTGCTGACGAACTCATTAATGTCAGGACAAATTCCTCTGGCTCTGGGGAGCTGTGGGCTCTGGCCACGTCCCAGAGCTGCAAGGACCAAGCCCAATCATCCATCCTCCCTCCCAAGGAACAGGCAGAGGAACCAGGGCTGGGCTGCAGCTCCTGCGCTTGGAGCTCCTAATTTCCACTTCAGTTGCCCAGTTAGAAGGATTTGAGGCAGCAGGTGACGGAGACTCTCCCCAGCCCTCGCTGATTAATCCCTTGCGGTCTTAACAGAAGAAAAAGCCTCACTTCAGGATATTCAGAGGCAACAACCTCCAATTCCTCTGCTGCAGAGCTGGCTGCGCAGGCAGGGCAAGTGCCTTCCTGACGCCACTCCAGGCTGTTTTTCCTTCTGAAAGCATTCCCTATGGACACACCTATGCTGCAAAGCACCACCCACACTCACACTGCGAGAGATCACACCAGCCCAGGAGCAGGTTACACGTGAGCAGGACAGAGAGGTCCACGCGGGTGCTGGAGGAGGCAAAGGAGCTTGCACGCCTGGGCAGCAAGCAAGGAAAGCAGCATGAAGGCAAAGCCGAGGGGTTGCCTTTGGGCTGAAATACCTGGATGTCGTCTGGCTGCGTGGGGGGGGAGGAGGTGTGGACTGGAGAACCAACTGGGGACACTGAAACACTAGGATTCCCACAGTGACTATATGCGGGCAGAGAAGGAGCTAGAAATGCCAATCATTCACCTTCAGCAGTGGCACAAACTCACAGCGCATCCCGCTACAGCACGAGGACCCTCATGTCGGCCTCAAGCCCCTGCCACGTTAACAGCCCAGGCTGATACAGACCTTTCCCACCACCAAAGCTGGGCACGGCTACTCCCACGGAGGGTATGGAAAGGGGAGGAGCAGGGAAAGGGTCTAGGAAGATACTGAACTATTTACATAGTGTCTGCACACCACACTGCTCGCCCCACAGAGCCAGGAGGTCATGAGGAAGGTGCTAAAGGGTTCCTACATCTAGGAAGAGGCAGCGCTACCTCTGCCCCAAGTCCACAAAGGAAAAGAATAAAGAAAGAGGTTTCTGAAAATATCTTTATGCCTCTTCTGCCAGAGCCCTCCAGGAAACCGGGCACATGGGAGTTAACTGCCGCAGGTCCCCCTCCCAGCACGGAAAGCCAGCAGACAGGCGATCGCACTCCCTGGCATGTGCGTATCTGATGGAGCTGCATCTGTCTCCTCGGATTTTCTCCAAGCAATTTGCTCAGGGAACAAGCTCCTCCTGGCATAAGATTTCATCTGCTCCGACTGCTGCTCTCCACCTGAAGCAGCAATAAATCCTCTCCGGGTGACATCAGAGCCAGCTGCTGCGAGCCAGAGTCAGCGGCAGGATTACGGGAAGAGGGATGAATGGAAGATACTAACGGAGCCGCTCCTCCTGGGGACGGGCTCGGCAGCCAAACAGTGGCTCAGTCCTGCTCTCCGACAGACAACGCTGCCTCGCTGAACCTCTCCCATCCCAGGGGACCTTCCTCCAGTCACTCTGTCTCCTGCCTCTGCAGGGATGGTGAGGAAAAAGGATGTCTCTTAACAGTGATTCGGAAGCAGCTGATATGGGAGGGAAGAGCAGGAGAAACGTCTGGATAGCATGAGGGTATGCCAGACCCAGCCCATCGCTGATAGATATTTCCTGGGGAGAAGACGGGTCATCCCACACACCCATGCGTTGCTCAAGAGAATCCAAGGAAACCCGTGGTTCACCGGGAACTCTATTGGGGAAGAACTGGAAATCCTAACGGGCACCAGTAGAGCCCCTCACCTCCAGCGGCGAGCACAGTCACACCTGAACTACTGCCAGGTGGAGAGAAGGCAGTGAACAGGGAGGGAGGAGAAACGCGTGCAGAGAACTTATCTTCGGTGCACCAGAACCTCTATGTTTTGCAAACTATCACAAGGGAGAGCAAAACACCAAAACACACCGTGCGGGACGGGGTGGCAGGCAGAGCCCGGCCGGGCCGGCCCGCCCGCCTGCTCGGGTATGCGTACGCCCATGGCCAAGGTGGCTCCAGCCACTGGGCTTTGAAAGGGGCAGCAAGAGAGCGACAGGAAATTTGGTCCGTGAGGTCAGCTCTGGGGTAGCGCTGCAAAGATGTTTTAGGTGGATTTTTACAGGCTTGTTCCATACTGCCACTACTGCTTTCAGCCTGGGAAATCCTCTGCCCCCACGGCTGCTTGGGAGATCGTCGCTGGCAGGCAGGAGTTGGAAAACCGGCGTTCTCGGGCTCCAGGGCCCTAAGTCAGACAAGCTCGTTCTCTCCTGCTCAGCTCTGGGTGCGTAGGCTGGCCGCAATCCTCAGACACCCCTGCGACACCCAAAGTCTCTTTGAACCTACTCATAGGAGCTTGGGATGGAGGTTTCCTATCACTGCCCTCAGGGATATGAGCCAGTTAAGTCCAAAAATCGCTGCTGCCTTCAGAGCGGTAACACGCAACTGGGAAATTCATGGCAGGATTTTCCCTGAGGTTAGGCTGGGTCTGAATACACACAAGAAGGGAGCAACAAAGACCGTGCGGGACACCAGCAAGCCTGCTGGAGGGGCAAAGCGAAACGACTGAGCCAGCACTGCACGGACAAGCCGCAGCACAAGCACTGCCCTGGGGTGGGAACCCGCAAGGAGAGAGAGGGCAAGGACGCAGGAGCATCCGCAGCAGGGACACGCTTGGAGAGGTCCATCCGCATCCCTGTGAGGTGGCAGCTGTCCTTTCTCTCTCCTCAATTTAAAAAAAAAAAAAAATACAAAGACCAGAACTGGCCTATCAAAGAGAACAAAATAGGAAGGAGAAAAAAAAAAGTGAAAGAGCAAGGAGGCAGGACTCCTGGGTCCTTTCCCCCAGCAGGGCACAGGCTGCATAACGGAAACTCCCACCTCCGGCTGCTCCTGGGAGCAGGAAGGCTGGGAAATGGCTCCCGCAACTGCCCCCACGCCATCCTCTCCTCCAAGTGCTTTCAAATAATGAAAACTTCAATAACTAAAAACTGCTGGAGTCCATGAGTGGCCCTGGGGGAGGACATGGTTGCCACTCCGGCAGGAAGCACTGCAGGCTTCACAAAGGCAAACGCAGCTTTTAAGAAAAGAAGAGAAATAAGAGTGGCAAGACAGGCTGCAAAAAGACTGGGATTTGCAAAGAGGCCTCTGCCCTGCTCGGTGC